GCTACCATTTCCAGCCCTTTGTCCTTTCCTCTTCCCTAGGTTTCTCAAGAAGTGCATTCCCTAAATACTTCTCCATGATTTGTTAAGAGTTCTGGAATCTGACTACAACCAAGAAGAGGAGGAGACATTTCTTGTTTTGAAAATGTTATAGTTAAAAGCCAAAACTGTAGCAGACAGGGTTGAGGTTGGACAAGAGAAATTTCCTCTAATGGTTTAAGATTAGGGAGTTAAGAGCTATGAAATGAGTATCTTCCAACAAAAATTATCATCAGAAGCAGTAACTGTAACAGCAGCAGAACACCTTTTGAAGTATGCCATTATAACTACACCGAGAACATTACCCACTTCTAGTCTTTGTTTTCTGAAGAGTCAGAGATTCACTACACATCCACAAGGGCAAGTCAAAGCAAAAAGCGCTCATAATAATTGATATGTATAGAGTACCTTATATTTACCTTTAGAATCTTCCTGTAAGCTACTTCACTTAATCCTGACAACCACTTTTGAACCAATTATTGTTACTTGACACTCAGAGAAATATGTGGCTTGCCCAAGATCACACACATTTAGGATGTTGTAGTGTTGAGATTTAAACTCAAGTTGGTCTGACTTCACTTGGTCTCGTCTTTCCACTGACAATAGAATAAGAAAATGACCTAATATTACCCTGCAAGTGTCAGTGGTAAATGCAATTTGAAATAAAGAGAAAGAGAAACTGTTTGGGTAAATTCTTCATTTTGCATGCTATGTAGACACTCCACCTTATAGTCTAGAAAAGAAGAGGCAACATAAATTCAATGTCATTTTTACTTGGTTCTGTGACAATCTTAGTGAAGCAAATGTTTCTTTGCGTGTGTTATTAGCGTAGCTTTCCTTCTTGACTCCAGCTAGAGGATTATGAAGAAGTTGGGAGTTCCTCTGATTGGTGATGAGTACTCAAGGGTTTGGAACAATGGATATCATAATTTTATATCATATTATCATAATTTCTAGACACATATTTTGATATTTTAACAAGTATGGGCCTATCAATTTGTACCTGCTAAACATCAGCTCTGCTTACAGATACTTCACCACAGGGATGTTTTTAGGGGGCCCAGTAAGGATGGCCAGTGTTTCTTTTTCTTTAAAGTCCAGGGTTTCATTTTGAAACTGATGAGCAGGAAAATTGAAGAAAGAGCTAGGATCTTGGAATCAGATGAAGCCTAGTTTGGAATCACAGTTCTGTCTACTTGTTACTAAGTTTCTTCATGTACAAACAGATAATGTGCCAGACTTGTTGGTGTTATGACCAGGTAGTATATATCAAGTCCCTTATGTATAAAGGAGGTGCTTAATAAGTGATAGTCATGGTTATTGGTTATTATCAATCTGCCCTCCATCTCAGTTCACCACCTCAGAACATTTTAAAGAATAAGGAAGAAAGGAAGAAAGAAGGAGTGAGCAACAGGGCATGGTAGAGTGTACAGAATCAAGATGGTGAAAGAGAGATGTTGCTGGTAAGCAGAGATGAAAAATAAGTCATGAAGAGGACTTCATTCTTACCTAATACCCAAGGGGATCAGAGAGATCATCTAATCCTGGTCACTCATTGTGCAGTTGAAGAAAATGAAAAGAGAGATTTGGGGGGCAGGCTTGTCTGGGATCACAAATAATATTACCAACTGAAAATTCACAAGTTCTGAGTCTCAGATGTGTACTTTCTTTCTTTTATCCTTCTGCCCTCACGGTTTCTAAAACCCAGCCCCAGGGACATGTATCAGACAGACCTCTCTTTTCTTCTGTCTGTATTGTACTATGCCTCAAGCAGCACCTGTGAGTTGGGACTGAGAGTAAGAACCAGCGTGGGAGGAGAGAAAAAGGAAACAGGGTTTTCATGATGTGACCCATAAAAGCTTCTGCATCCACAGCTAATTCGTACACGGCCACCATCACAAAGGGCTGCGGGAAATCCCAGAACAGCGAACACTTCTCTGTTTGTGGACTGGACAAACTCCACCTCAAGCCAGCTGGACTGTTCCTCATACTTCAGGCCCTCAACCTGCAACAGTGTCTTACATTCCTTCATAGATAAGAAATGTCGTCTTAGTTTCTAATCCTCTTCCATACCACTGCAGTTTGGAAGATCATCAGAACAAAAATTACCCTAAGTGTAACATTTGAGCGTTCTGGGACATCTATAGTCCAAGAGAAGTTCGATTTATTTCAGGGAAAAGGGAGGATGCTATTTGGTAAATAATCACACACACACACAAATATACACAAACATACATAATCAATAGAAGTTCCTTTCTTCTCCACTTTTTTCTCTCTCACAAATATGAAGGGGGACCCAAAACAAACTGGAATTATCTTTTGGAGGGTGGGCTCTTTGTACAGTAGACTTCCCCCACTAGATAAGTGACCTAGGAACCCATCAGCATGTGTACCAGCTAGTATGGTTGTGAGAGGCTGTGTGTCAAAGCATTTACCCATTTCATGATGGTTGATTTATAAGCGCACATGCCCACGCCATGCTGGGTGTTAAGCAGTTTTTAAAAATCAAAAACAGCACGATCCCCATACCCCACCCTCCCTATTCACTGAAAAATTTTTTTTTGTTTCCCCAGATGAAGAAAGTCCTCAAAGGGAAATATTTTACTGACGTGGAAATGGTGAAACAAAAAATGTTAGAAGTACTAAAAGGTATCAAACTTTATGAGTTCAAAAACAGTTCTGAGCAGTGGAAAAGGTATCTCCATAGGTGTATTGCGTCAAATGGAGAGTACCTTGAAGATGATCAAGTTTAAACATGTAAGAATAAATACACAGTTTTTTTATAAGTAAATTCTGGGTTTTTGCCTCCCCCATAAGTTTAGCTGAATAAATACTAAAGAAGACCATCAAAAAGCTCCCCCCCCCTTTCTTACTTACTTCCACTTTCATGAAATGGATGAGTTTTATAGAAGGCTTATCAACTGCTACAGGAAATATTAAAGTTGTGCATTTGGAAAAAAGTAATTCTGTGTTCTCAGTGCTGGGAGACATTGAAGGTTTTTATTTGGATGGGCGATAAAGATATCAGGAATTAAATAAAAGCAGTTCATTTGGGCTAGTTTACAGAGGGTTTCTAAAGACAGTAGGAAGAATTGACAGATTTCTTGACCATCGTGTTAACTCTGTGAATTTACATATTTAATTCTTCTGTTTTATTTCCTTGGTGATGAAGCTCTTTCCCTCATGTACTCATTTTTACTCTGTTTCCCCTTTCTTTCTTAATATCTACACACATTCTTCTCCTCCTTGCCCCTTTGCTCCTTTGCTTGAATTCTATTCTCAGCCCCAGATCTGTGTCAGCCATGCTGCATTAGGCTGGCTGTGGTAGGGTACTGAGTACTGCAGGGTGCAGGAACACCCACACCGGTCTTGTCCCTCAGGTGGAAGAGAGAATAGTTGTAAGATTCCAAGTGGAAGGGAATGTCTGATCTTTTTCCTTTACTGTAGCTTGGAGTGAACCTTGTGGGTCATGATATGGGCTGAGACCAGACTTCCTTTGCTTTCTCTATTAGAATCCAAATCATACACCTTGAACTGAAAATGACTGTTGGGTTGTAACACTTAATAGCAGGAGTCCATCTTCACGTTCAGAAAGCCAAAAGAGTTTTATGAGAACACGTGAGTAGCGTGGTTGTAAGTAGCTTCTAAACTCCCTGGGGTGTATGCGAAAAAGACATCATGTGTTAGAGCCCTTTCTATCCCTCCTGTCATATATTCAGCGTGTTGTTTCTGATAATATTCTCAGTAGAGTTAGAGCATAAGCCTGACTCCCCCTCTTCCTGCTAATGCTTCATGTTGCAAGAGAATCACAATGTATCATTGTCTTGAACCACTCAAGCTGGAGCAACTATTGAGTTTAAAACTTGGACACACAAGCTGTAAGCGTCCAGGCTGCAACCTCCCATCCTACAAACTGACCTGCGCCATCAGAAAGACTCCCCTGTCTTTCTACTCAGGGTCTTTGTTGTAGACAGTCACTGGTACTTCCCCTGGATATCTATCTCTTCCTAAACCCTCACAGTCTTGTTAAACCACTTCTGTGACTCTCTCATCTTGTCCTTGCCCTGCCCTGGGGACCCACCTCTTTTTCTCCACCCATTGGTGAACTCAGTGGCACAACAAAGGTGTGGGAAAACCCCAGTGTGGAGAATCTTTCCATTCCTCCACCCTCCCCAAAACTCATGTAGGTGGTGACATGCTCAGCCTGGCTACCATGGAGATCAGGGGTATTGGTAGAGGACAGACTCCCCAGTATTATGTAGGTCACTGAGAAGTCAACATATTCATCTATCTATCTCTGAGATCTGAAGCCTGAAACCTAATCCTGAGAAGTGTTTATCTGTCTTGAGTCTCCCTGTTAATTTGGCCTGGCATTGTCCAACTGTGAAAATCCTCCCTTGTGGCTGACCCCAGTATATCTTGCTGCAGTTTATCTCAACAACTTTCTTCTACTGTTTCTGAAGAAAGAGATCGTACTCAGAGAGTAAAATGGATTTAGGCCTGGTGCTTCCAATAGCTGGAACTATGGACACTAGACTAGGACCTGAAATGAAACTGGGAAACTTCTTCCTTGAGAACTTTTCAAAGTTAGGCTCAGATTAAAACGGCAGCAACAATAAGTTTAGCAAGATATGGAGAGAAACTTCTTAGGTGAGAAAGGTTAAAAAAAATTACTGAATATTTATTCAAGTCATCAAAGGAACCCACGTTTTGTGATCCTGGAAAAATTACCTCTCTCGTAATAGGGAGGAAAGAACAAGCAAACAAACAAAAGCAAAGGGCCTCCTTGTTCCAATAGGTACAATGATGAATGCTTTTAAGGCTGAAATCATGGAGGTGGGAGGTTTTCTCCCGATTTTCCCCTTTTCTCAGCAGCCTGGTTTTTCTTTGACCTATCTCCTTCTTTCTCTTAGCATCATTCTAAATCAGTACAACCTTAAAACTGAGGTAAACTCTGTACTTACCTGTTGACTGGTGGAGTCGAGTTTGAAGCAAAGCAGTTCTCAAGCTGGGGTGTGGCCTTCCCAGGTGTGGAGACAGAGGGAAGGACAGCGAGAAAGTATCATACTGTAGACTGTGCCTTTCTCCCTGATCTCATTCAACTGCTGTTGCTCAAAAGAGGAAGCGGAAATGAGAAAACACACACACACACACACACACACACACACACACACACACACACACGTCCACACACATAGACATAGTCCCCGCCTCCCACTCCAGTCACATCCTTTGCTCCAGCTCAGGAGACTGAAGAACAAAATATCTGTAGACACCGTGCTCACAGCTAGGAAGCCCTTCCTGTCCCAGAGCTGCCTCGGTCTTTCCAAAACAACAGGAGGTCTTTTTCTATTAAGGGAAAGGTACAGCCCATGTAATGACGTGGGTGTAGGAAAGACTTCCTACCATATAACTGGAAGCCCACTGCTGCAAATAAAGCCTTCTGTCCTCAGGAGGAGAGGTGTCCAAAAATGGAAAAGCTCTCTCTCAAAACATCCTCACATTTATCTCAGAGGAGATACTTACAGCCCTATCACACACTTGAGAGGGCTCTGAGCCAGTCAGCTGTTTCCATCACTCGTTCACACTCTGGTAAATTCCCAGAAGCTTGTTTTCAAATAGTGCATACTTTTATTTTTCTCTGTTAGTTTCTTAACACTCTGTTTTCATGTTCAAGCCACTCTGAAGTTTTTCTTTTTGTAATGCATGACTGCTTTCCTGAAAAATTATTTGAAACTGGTCTTTTATATTCTGCTGTACCCTGGAGATGTCTCCAACTTATTGGTTTTCAGTTTCAAGAAACTTTATTGAACTTTCAAAGGTTTTTCTCAGCTCTTGTCACTTTCGCCCCTTTGGTGGCATTCAGCATTGCTGACCATCTCTCCCTGCTTCTCCAATGTCTTCTAATATGCTTTTCTCTCTGTTTGTTGGATCTGTCTAGATCTGTCCTGTCTCTCTCCTGATTCTGTTCTGTTTCCTTCTCTCCACCATTTATTTATGAAAATGCATTACAATATTTGTTCCACAAGACATTCCTGTAATGTGTTATTTGTGACTAATCTTCACTTGTTCTTTTTCTTCTTTATAATTTTATGGCTATAATTATAGTTGGATCTTAAAAAAAAACAATTTTCTCAAACTTAATTTCCAATCACCAATAGGAAAACTCCATTGAATATCCACAGAATACCTATAATATGGTAGAAAAAAGCCTAAATAAAATTCTTGCTTGGCAAGCTAAGTTATTTAAACATTATTTTCTTCAAGTATACTATGAGGAAAATAATAATTTTCTCTGTTTCTCTCTTACCCCTCTCCCCATTATATTTCTTTTACACGGGGATGAAAATGTCTAATGTATTTCTCAGTACAGAGTAGATGCTAAATATATCCTTTCTTGAGAATTACCTCAAAGGCAACAAGTAAAAAATGAAATCCAATACACCCTGATTCTCTTCTATCACTGTTTTTCCTGTACAAACTAGCTGCAACAACTAAGCTAGTAAAACTCAAAATTATTTTTTAATCTTTACTTTCTGGAATCCAGTCTTTTCCTTAACAGTTGTTTTCAATATGTGTGGAATAGGGAGAGTATCACTTCTATAGGAAGTGTGAGGGATTTTTAATTTTCACAGAGATGGGAAGCTGATACTGGTATTTAGTACCCAAGGGTCAATGATGCTGAGTGCTTTGGAGGGTAAGGGACCCTTCAGCACAAGAAATAATTGTCCCAGCCAAAATGTCAACATTTTATTAACATTTATAGTTTCATGGTTAGGAGAGAGGCTTTGGAGTGGGACTGTAGCATTGAGTAGCTCTGAAGTCCTAGACACATTGGCATCTCCAGACCTCTGGTTCTGCAGACTAGGTTGTGAGTCTGCAAAATGGGGATAATATTCCAATAGAAGTGGTTGCAAAGCTATAGGAATAAGGGAATTCAGCGTATTTAGTTCAGGTCTTATCTTACAGCAAATGCTCAACAAATGGCAGCCATTTTTAGAGTCTTGAAATATAATGTTTTCAATTTGTCCAACATGCTGTATGTATATCTGTCAAAATTATCTCATTCATTAAGGAAGCCATTTTACAAGCAGTTGTAAGTTTTTGTTGTTGTTGTTAATAAAAGAAAGAAAATGGCTATTTGTGATTTTTAAAAATGTTTTATTCTTCTGCAAGCAGTTGTAGCATTTCTCTCTCTCTCTCCTTTCACTTCTCTCTGTCTCTCCCACTCTCCCTCTCCCTCATCTGTGCAGTATTCTTTCTTTCTCTACCCTCTCTCTCTCCCCTCTCTCCCTCTCTCTCATTTCACTCTTCTGTCTCTCTCCTTCTCTCCCTCCCCATCAGCTGTGCAGTATTTCTTTCTCTCTCCCTCCATTCTCTCTCTATCTGCCCTGCCACCATCCTTCGAAAACATCAAGTGCCTCTCTATGTCTTTGATACCATGTACTTCTCTGATTATATATTCCATGTGCTTCAAGAAAACATAACCACTTGTCCTGTCTGTACTAGGTGCAGTTCAGGGTTTCAGAAGGTTTATATAGATCTTGTTCATTGGCCCCCTTGGTTCAAAATAAAAGCTCTATGCTAACTGAGATGATGAGTTTTCTTTCTATCACCTATGTGACTCAGTGGCTTCATGCCTCTTCACATGACCCATTTGTCATTCCATGGTGCCCTTCCTCGTGTTTTACGGAATTTAGGGAAAAAACTGAGCTGGGAGTAAAAGAGCCATCTGATTTTAAAACTAGCTATATGACAGTTATGTAATTTCACTGGATATCAGTTTCCTTTTCTGACAAATAGAGAAATATTTTCTAAGATTATCTTGGCTTTAGATAACTGTCACATCTACACAGACTATTTTTCTCTACACTTTTATGATAACTACATGTGGTTTGTTATGAAAAATGAAAAAAGTAAGTGACAAATATTTGGTAAGAAATCGTGATAAAGATAATAGAAAATGTATTTCATAGGCCTCTCTTTCACCACAAAGCCGAGTAAAAATTGCTTTTGAGAGCTACTAGACACATAACCTGATAACATGTAACTTGGTAACACCAATAACCTCCAGACATGTAACTTGACAACACTGAAAAATAAGAACAGTTTCAGAGCCTGGATGTGCCCATCAGACAGATGGGCTGCTGGGCACAAGCTCTGGAGCTGCAGAACTGGGAGCTCAGCTGGAAGGTTGCCCAGACCTGGGACAGAGCCAGGACAGCTGTCCATAGAGGATGTCCCATGACAGAGAAGCTGTTGCTCAGAGCCCCTGCTCTGGGCTGAGCAGCTGGGCCCCTCTGCCCAGGCCCAGATGCAAGTCATCTGCTTCTATGTCAGCTCTCAGCCTTCTTCTCCCTCAGATCCTGGGGTTTACAGAAGCCCATTTATTTCAGGCGTGCTCCTCCAAATTGCTGATGTGGGAGTTTGAGTGGGTTTGTCTCCTTTCTGTACCAAAGACTCAAAAGTGGGGAAAACGGATAGAGTCATGGGAGGAAAGCAGTGGTTTAACTCACAGAGGTTTTGTGAACTTTCTCCAGGCAGAGAGGGACCCGCTGATGTCGTCTTGTCTTTCTCTCTGCTTCTGTGTTCTGGCTGTTAAGATTTCCAAGAAATGGAATTCTCTAACTTTTCTGGCATACTGATTCTCCCAAAACCCTCCACTAATGCTGGAAAATTCTTTCTTCTGTCTTCACTATTTAAAAGTCCAGCAGAACAAAAGCGCCGTCTGCCTCAGGCCTCCGTAGAGGGCGTTCTTTTGGAGATCTGGATGACAATTCTATTCAAATTGCATTTTATTAACTACCTTATAAGTTCCAGAATTGAGCTAGATCTAAACTTGGGGAGATATGATGGAGGAAAAGGGGGATACAAGAGAAACAATATCAAATACTACCCCCTAGAAGGCTTATTCTCTAGTGTGACCAAGTAATTTTGGGAAATGTAGAGTCAACAAATGACAAACATGTTTCTTTAAGATGTAACTTCTAGGTCGAGTGCAGTGGCTCAAGCCTGTAGTCCCAGCATTTTGGGAGGCCGAGGTGAGAGGATTGCCTGAGCCCGGGGGTCCGAGACCAGCCCGGGCAACTTGGTGAGACCTCGTCTCTACAATAAATCAAGAAAAGTTAGATGGGCGTGGTGATGCGTGCCTGTGGTTCCAGCTACTTGGAAGGTTGAGGTGGAAGGATCGCCTGAGCCTAGCAGGTCGAGGCTACAGTGGCTGTGAGCATGCCACTGCACTCCAGCCTGGGCCACAGAGTGAGACTCCAACTCAAAAAAAAAAAAAAAGGATGTAACTTCTAGGGGCTTTTAATAAGCTGATATGAATTGTGGTTCTCCTAGGAGGACAGAGTATTGTATTTTCTGAATGTATTAGTTTAGGGTTTTTTTTTATTTTTTATTTTTTTGAGGAGCCTCCCAGTGAAATTACTTTTGGAAGAGTTGTCCTCTACTACGGCCACTTCGGTTCTGACTTCTCTAGATCAAATAGTGACATTTGTGTCTTTCATTATACTCAGGTATGTAAGCACAGGCAGGGTTATCTGAGCCCATATTTCTTCTGATCAAGATCGTTTAACTCGGAAGCACAGGGCTTCACTGAGGTCTCAGGTGTGATTGGCTCGGTGAGTGCTATGTGTTGGATAAGCCCATGGAGGAGGATGGATCCTGAGCTCCATAGGACACTTGTATCAGTGCAGTGGAGTAGGAGAAGTCTATGGATCTGGTAGGATGGGAGCCGGGGGATTTGGGAGCTAAGGAGAGATCCATTAAAAAAAATCCCACCAGCGGGGTTCAGTGGCTCAGCCTGTAATCCTGTGCTTTGGGAGGCTGAGGTGA